GCGGCAGGAGGCCAGGGTGCCGCTCCTGCCACTGCCGCTTGGTAGCGCTGCGCGGAGGCGGGAGAGGCTCGCACTTGCCAGTGTGAGCCCAGCATCTGGGGCCTGTCGGTCAGCTGAGCAGCACTTCTGCTGTGGGAGTGCACTGACCACCGGGGGGCAGCTCCTGCATTGAGCATCTGCCCTCTGGTGGTCAGTGCGCATCATAGTTACCACTGGCATCCGGTTGCTTAGGCTTTTATATATATAGACTAGGGGTCCAGTGCACGAATTTGTGCACCTTGAATGACACTGTGAGCCGCAAGGCTGTGGTGGGCACAGGGGCAGGTCTTGGCCCATCCTTTGCACTCCCGCCTTGGCCCTCCTGCTGTGGACCTCGGTCCCCTGTCTGCCGGCAGCCCCACTCCCGCCACTGCTCCCATTCGCTGATGGCGCGGGCCCTGCTTGCACACACTGATGCTGACTATGCAGAGTGATTGGGGCCGGTGCCAGCAGTGGGTGTGAGCAGTGGCTGCTGCCCCCATCACCCCTCAGGAGCATGAGGAGGTGGATAAGCCCTCAGGGGCAATCAAGGCCAGCAGCTGCTGCTCTCACCTGCTGATGGCACTGAGTGATCAGGACCTGCACCAGGCGCTGGCAGTGGGTACAAGCAGGGCCAGTGCCAGCAGTGGGTGTGAGCAGCAGCTCTGGCACTGGCAGCAGGTGTGAGCAGCGGCTGCCAGCCCCAATTGCCCCTCAGGAGCAGGGGGAGGTGAAGCCCTGAGGGGCGATCAGGGCCGGCAGCTGTTACTTGCACCCACTGACGGTGCCGAGCAATTGGGCCAGCACTGGGCGCCAGCAGCAGGTGTGTGCAGTGGTTCTGGGTTGGCAGCAGGTGCAAGCACCAGGCAGGACCGCAGTGCATGGGAGCAAAGAATTTTCAGTAACCCTAGAGGCTCACCCCGATGACAGCGACTGGTGCCCTGCCTTGGCCTGGCGCCCCCCGATCACCTGCTCCACCATCCCGCTGCGGCCGACGTCCACCATGTTCCACATGCGCCCCCTGGTGGTCAGTGCACGTCATAACAACCGGTTGTTTGGTTGTCCCACTGTTCGGTCTATTTGCATATTAGGGTTTTATATATAAACATGGTATGTGTTCTGAGTACTTTCACCTTTTAAACAGACTCTCTTTGGCTAACATAACAATTTAGTGTCAACTAGGGATGAGAAAGATTCCTCAAAGGATGACTCTGCTGGTAGCGAACCTCACTGGTGAACTTAAGAGTCCATCCACTGTGCTGCTCATACTGCTCTTCTTTTAAAACACTATGATGAATCTTCTCTGAAGACACTTTCAAAGTATATGCAAAAAATACAAAAACATCATTTCAAATGATACTTACTTAGCCAAGTAATATTTAGTGGAGCTCTTATTAGGTGGCTAAGCACTGGATTAGAGACAAAGAATACAATGATGAACAAGACACAGACCTTCTCTTAAAAAAAAAAACATAGTCTAGGACCTAGTTTGCAGCACCATGGCTAAACGCACCAAGGTCAGAGTCACTGGTAAATACAGGAATCGTTACGGCACTCCCTCACTAAAATAATGAAGAAAATTGAAATCAGCCAGCACACCAAGTACACTTGCTCCTTCTGTGGCAAAACCAAGATGAAGAGGTGAGTTGTGGGGATCAGGCACTGTGGTTCCTGCATGAAACAGTAGCTGGTGGTATCTGGATCTACAACACCACCTCTGCCAACACAGTCAAGTCCGCCATCAGAAGGCTGAAGAACTGAAAGACCAGTAGAAGCGCTACAATTTGAAACATGCTAGACTATAATAAATGGGTTCATTTGTATAATCAAAATAACCACAGTATAATCAATGGAAGAGAACAGAGAGCCCAGAAATAAACCCAGGTCTATATGTCAATTAATTTGCTACAAAGTAGCCAAGAATATACGATAAGGAAAGGACAATCTCGTCAATAAATGGTGTTGGGAAAACTGGACAGCCACATGAAAATGAATGAAACTAGATCACTATTTTACACCATACACAAAAATTAACTTAAAATGGATCAAAGATTTGCGTGTAAGACCTAAAACCATAAAAGTCCTAGAAGAAAACAGGTGGCAACCCTTGTGACGTCGGTCTTGATGATGGTTTTTTGGGTTTGACCCCAAAAGTAAAGACAACAAAAGCAAAAATAAACAACCGGGGCTACATCAAAGTAAAAAGCTTCTGCACAGCAAAGGAAACCATTACCAGAATGAAAAGGCAACCTACCGAATTGGAAAGAAATATATTTTCAAACCATGTATCTGAAAAGGGGTTAATATCCAAAATATATGAAGAATCATACAACTCAACAGCAAAAAAACAAAACAAAACAAAAAAACACCCCACAAATGATCTGATTTTAAAAGTGGGCAGAGGATCCAAATAGACATTTTCCCAAAGAAGAAATAAGATGGCTGACAGGTACATGCAAAAGTGCTCAACATCACTAATGATGAAGGGAATGCAAGTCAAAACCACACTGAGATATCACCTCATACCTCTTAGCATGGCTACGATCAAAGAGATAAGAAATAAGTGTTAGAGAGACTGGGCATACAGGTCTGCCTTAGTCTGTAACAAAATACCACAGCCTGGGTAACTTATAAACAACAGAAAGTTGTTTCTCATAGTTCTGGAGGCTGAACCAGGCTGACCAAGCACCCCAGTGGGGACCCCCACCCTGAAGGGTGTGTGACCAGCTGCAAACTGCCATCATCCCCTCACCCAGACTGGCAAGGCACCCCAGTGGGGACCCCCACCCTGAAGGGTGTGTGACCAGCTGCAAACAGCCATCATTCCCTCCAACGATTGAAATTTCTTTTGAGAGCCACATTTTTTAAACTTAAACTATACAGGTAGGTACATTGTTATTAACTTAATTAGGGTACTCCTAAGGCTTAGGAAGAGCCACACTCAAGGGGCCAAAGAGCCGCATGTGGCTCGCGAGCCGCAGCTTGCTGACCACGGGGCTAGGAAGCTCTATGGGGTCTCTTTTTATAAATCACTAATTCCATTCATGAGGGTTCCACCCTCGTGACCTATCACCTCCCAAAGGCCCCACCTCCTAATACCATCACCTTGGGCATTAGGTTTTCAACATATTTGAGGGAAACACAAACATTCAGACCAGAGCGATGCCACTTTGCCTAGGAAGCTCCAGGTTCACTCTGTTATTCTGGTATCACTATTAATTATGCCCCCTTTTCCTTCAAAAATGTCATGGCTTGGACAATAAATTATATGGTCACCTTTCCTGATATGACTGTTTACTTTTCTGGCTTCATCTGGTACCTTTCCTGACATCCACTTAATCCTAAAACCCTGCTTATTTCTTCCAGGTGTTCTAACGTGCCAGGCTTCCTCCTACCCTGGTCTCTCACACACTGTTCACTTTACCTAAGATATTCTCTTCCTCACTCCTCACTAGGTCTGGTTCATTCTGTGTAGCAGGGAAAATAGTGTAGTAAACTGTTTTTCAAACTGTGAGTTGTGACCCGGTAAAATCAAGTTTGTGGGTCACATCCAATATTTTTTTTAAAGTAAAACTGTCTAGAATAAAAGAGAAGAGAGCAGAACGCATTGCCATAACTACCGTTTGTGAAACTGCTGTTTCGGGTGCTGAGTGATGGTGTGTGGACTGGGTCATGGCGTGAAAGGCATCTCTGACTGGATCAGAGTCAAAAGGTTTGACACACATCGGCATAGGCTCCGGGATCAGACTGTTTGATCTAAATCCTGACGTTGCCACTTCCTAGCTTTGTGACCCTGGACAAGTTATTTAAACTGTGTGGATTTTCCTCATTTATCTTATGAGACCGTTATGAAAATTAAATGAATTAAAATGCTTAAAACTGCACATAGCATGTGTTGACCATTTATCATTCGCTAACCTTCAGGTTCTCGTTGGAACATCACTCTCTCCAGAAAGCTTCCCCTGACATGAAGTCAGGTTGGGTGCTCTCCTGTGCCCTCCCCACCTTCACACTCATCTCACTTGTCTGAGGAGATGTGCCCAGGTCTGATCAGATCACTGGGAGCTACAGAAAGGCGGGTATCTTGTTCATCATTCGGTATCTAGCAGTTAGCATAGTACCTGGCACATAATAGGTATCAGTAAATTTTTGCAGAATTAATAATTTAATCACTCCTGGAAATAGATACACAGCCATTTGTTTTATGCAAATAAAGTCATCTTGGGACTTACACACCTGAGAAGTCACAGTCATTTTGATGAAGAACCTGTCACCTTAGTTTAGATTAAGCCTGATTCTCTTAATTTGAAATGTCAGAGGGTTATATAACTTTTTATAATATACACTCGTTAGCAATGTAGTAAAAGATTTATGTTGGGTGGCTTCTTGATCTAAAATTCATAAATAATTTTTAAATCAGCATCTATTAATTTTTCTTTTAATCATTATGATGGAGAAAGTTGGGTGCTGCGTGACAAATAGAAGGCGGCACCTTTATTTATTTATTTTGGGGGGGGCAGTAAAAATAGTATTTTATTCCACCCTCTCCCACTCACCATCTCCCCACAAGCCCCAGTACATTTCTCCCTTCTCGTTTCCACTGCAATGTTACAATCAGAAAACAAATGTGTGTTGTGGTTTTATTGGGGGGGAGGGGGATTTGGGGAGGAGTATGGGTAAAAACAGTCAAATAACAGTAGGAATTTTTCCAAATAGGTTATCCACTTAGTCATCATCCTCTCCCTCATCTTCAGGCTCCCATCTTTGCTTCTGAGCCCTTTCTTCAAGATCTTCTTCATCTTCCTTGTTGTTTACTTCCCAGTCATAACCTCTTCATCCTCCTCTTCTCCTTCCACTGCCTGAGCATCCTCATCATACTCTTCTTCCCCCTCTTCCTCCTCTACATCGCCCTGGGGCCTGAGGCAGGGGCCTCCTTGTCATCCTTCTAGATATGTAAGTTATAGGAGGAGCTTGAACACACTTTATCCATAGTCATTCAGGTTGGTTACCTCATAACTGAAAAGGTCTGTCTTGAGGTTTTCTAACTTTTTCAGTGGCTCTATTGTGCTGAGGTCTCTATTTTGTTGACACTTTTTTTGCCAATACTTCCAGGCCTCCTGCGATTCTGTTATCGCTTAGTTCAAGCTTCTTAAGTTTGTTTAACTTTGGTAAGTTTGTGACTGAGGTGAAGTTCATGTTGATTGTATTTAAGAACTCCAGTTCTTCAAATTCATCTGTGAGGCCTTCGATTTTGCCTCATTAGACCGACAGTTGTCCAGGACAAGCTCTTTCACATCAGAGGGCGTCCCGCTCCGCAGCTCTAAGTGAATCCATTTGTCCATGTCCATCTCGTGTGCGCTCTCTCTGCAGAGGCTCCTAAGCCAGTGGAATTAAATCAATAAACCCTGAACCCACAGTCACACATTTTAGAATTTGAAGGCTCAACCAGCTCCACTCCAATCTTCAAAAGGTGGCACATTTAAATGTAGTTACCATCCATCTTTCTAGTCTTTTATTTAACTGAGCGCTGCAAATAATTGTGGTTTTGCTCTATTCATTCATTTCAATGTAAGACTTTAAATAGTTTTAACTAAGTCTTTTTCATGTATGAATCATGTTTCCCATATTTTTGAAGTAAAAAGGAACAATTAAGTTGAAAGGCATTTTAATTGGCTTAATTAATACCAACTATATAATACATAGTTACTATGTTGATAACCACTCAAAGTTCCCTTATCAGTTCTTTCATATGAAGAATGCTTTGCAATGCTCTGGTGATTGACATAGACTATTTCAGGGAAATGTGAAAGCATACAGCAACTGGCCTCAAAATGGAAGACATCAATCAGTGCCCAGTTTATGAGCAACACATAAAAAGAATATGCAACTGCTAAAAAAGTATTGCATTACCAGGAGGGACAAAGACCAGAGCCCAGAGCAGTGCTGTACTAACGGCAGATTCACCCTGACACCTGGGGGTGGTCTGGGGAACTCCTGTACAATTCTCTTACTAAGTCAAATGGACACATATGTCAGATGATGATGAGGGTTACAAAGAAAATAAAGCAGAGAGGAGGGCTAGGGAGTGCCAATCGTGGGTGGGGTGTCAGTTTTTAATAAAATGTTCAGGAAGACCTCCC